CCACTCTCTCTCTCTCCGCCTCTCTTACAGGCCTTTTTTCTTTTATAGATAGATATATGTGGATTCGGAAACTCTTTTTTTATCAAACATGCTTTCACACTCGCGCACACTCCTGTGTATTTATATATATATATATATATATATACACACATATATATTTATATATATATATATATATATATACCTCCCTATATATATATATATATATATATACAACAAGAGGGGGATTTTTGTAATTTGACCATACCTCAGGGGGTGTTTGTAATTTACCCTATATTTTAATATATATATATATATATATATATATATATATATATATATATATATATATATATATATATATATATATATTAAGTATATATATAAAGATTGAAACTTTACAAACAGAGAAAACAAAAAGGAAGGGATAAAAAGGTGGCTAAATAAAGACCTTTGGTGGAGATTGTTTTTCTACACTTATTTCTGATGCAAAATTGGTGTTTGTAGATCAGTCAACTTTGAAAAATCACCTGTTGTGATTCCCGAAGAGTTATATTGTTGTACATGGTTAGAAAGCTCTGGAAGTCTAGTTTCCAACACAAAAAACTGTTTACAAAACAAAGGTCGGAAGAAGAAATTATGCTATGTTTTCTACAGTCTGCCAGCTGCACTCGGGAAAATTGACAGCGTCGTGTTTTCTCGTATTTCTAAGTGTTTTATTTTATTAGTCTAATTTCGAATTCACCATCTTTTTATCAATTAAACAGGTCATATTCTATGTATTTCATGAGTCAATGTCAAGTTTATTTATTTTCTAGAATTAGAAAATGACAAGTAATTCAAGTTTTGTAATTTCCTATGTTTGGAGGATGTTCCGAAACTCCTATATAAACCACCTTTCAATGAATAAAATGGGAGATGATTGTTAAAATTTAAAAATATCTTGCAAGTTAATTATATTGAGAGCGAGTGATTCCTCTTTATACAAGTGAGTGACTTGGTCGCGTTGAGTGATTGCGTGATTAGTAGCGTTGAGTGAGTCCACTGCCACCGATTGAGTAATTCCAGGTCATCTATGTTTTTTTATCCTCTTTCGTTGCAGGTATCGAGCTGCATCAATTCCTCAGTGACTCGTATGTATATATATAATGAAAAATTAAAAGATTTGAATGCAAGTTGGAGAGAAAAATACAGCAAAACTCCATAATAAACCCACAAACAAAAACATCGAAAAGAAAGCAAGGAAAAAAGTGATTACAAACACAAAATCCATACAATTATCATTCAAGCCAAAGGAACAAACAAATACTAGTTTTATATAAGCAGAAAAAGGCTTAGTACAGATAGAGAATGTAATTAGTGGATAGTTCACGTTTTTGTTGGTTTGTTTAATCCAATATATATGGATTTATTATGCAGAGATCCCATATATACATTACATTTTTTTGTATGCAGCGATAGTGAGTGGGGTAAACAATTGAAAATCGACGCCAGTGAGTTGATAAAAGTTGGCCGTACGTTGAGGTAGAAAATGAAAGGGGGAAAGAAATAAAAGAAGAAAGGAAAAATTCGTATCGACGCTGTATTACAGGGAAAGTTGCAGAAAAAGAAAAGGAAAAATAAAATTGAGCGGCAGAATTAGGATTCTACCTTGCTTATATATATATTTATAAAATATGTATGATTATTATTATTATTATTTTTGTATTATACATATCTTGTAATATTGGTATGTATATTTCTTAATTTCCTTGTCTGATTAGTTAGGGTTTCCAGCATGTACTATATATATTAGTATGTATTGAGAGACGATTATTATCTGCCTCTCCAATTCTATTATATTGTTCATATACAACAGCTCCTCATGGATTCTTCTGCTAATGTGGTTTGGATACCAATGTCGGCAAATGGTCCTAACGTCCTTGAATATGGCCCGTTTGCAGTGCAAGAATACAACAGGCGGGCGCATAAGGATTTGAAATACGTAGGTTTTGTCACCGGAGCCACGGCCGCGGATGGTGTAAAGTTGCATGTACGAATGACCATCAAAGCAAAATCCGGCGATCATGTGGACATGTATCGTGTAATAGTGGAAGGAGTTCCCTACAACCACACGAAAAAACTTGTCAACTTTTACATCCAGGCATAGAGAAAATGAGAATTATTAGTGCACATAACTCCATCCGTCCCTTATTATATGTCTTTTTATGATGTTTATTTATTTAATTATTTTTTTTTCAAATTATTTGTCAATTTCAATAAAGCATTAATTTTTTTTATTTATTTTTTAATTTGACCTCTTATCACTCTTAATTAATTAATTATAAAATTGTTAATGCAAGGGTATTTTAATATTTGTTATTGTTTAGGGATAGCATTGTAACCCGATGGTCCGTTTATATGAAAAAACCCGTTTATATGAAAAACACGGATGCCAATGAATGTGTGACATGTGGACACAATCATTAGTTACTCTTTTCTGATGGGGCCATTTTAAAAGATTGGAATTATTAATCATAATTGCCACATCTCTTTTCTTTTTTCTCATTCTTTGTTAAAAAAAAATTATTTTTACCCACCGTTACATGTTGTTTCTATGAAAAGTTCTATTAAAATAATAAGTAATATTATATTCTATATAGTGTAAAATAATATTTTTTTTAAATAAAATTTATTATTAAATTTAATAACTCATTATATTCTATATCAAATAGTGTACAGTAAATATACGTAACATAAACAAGTAATCAAAAGAATTGCTTGAAACAAATAATTTAA